TCCCTCTCTCCTCCTAGTCATGATCCGGCCGGCGCACGGGCGTCGAGCAGGCGGGGGTGTCCCTGCTGGCGGGACAGAGGTGCGCGTGTGCGGGTTGCGCGCGGGCGTCCACCGTGTCCTTTGCGCGCCCAGCCGCTCTCTGTCTCGCGATCTCCTCAGGCCTCTGAGCTCTGTATGCGACTGTGTGCACTCCACCGCCCACTGTGGAGGTGGCTGGCGAAGGGCGGCGAGAGAGAATACGGCGCGCTAGCAGGACGCTCTCTCCGTTCGTGTTTGCGCGCGGGTTGTGTGCCCTCTGTCTCGGCTAGACACATATGATGAGATATTGCAATAAGCTATATCCTATAAGGTAGGATGGACGCGCAAAAAAAAAAACAGTCGTGTCACGTGAGACCGATATGCGATAATTATTTTGGCAATTGACCGGGCGGGAGCGGGCAGCGGGAGAGCGGCAAACCCGCAAAGTCGCTACCTAGTCTCGGCGCCGACCCGCAGCCGCACACGAGACACGTGCGGGGTGCAGCGCACCGCTGCGGACGCGCTGCCGCAAGGCCTGTGGCTAGTGCCATTTCACTCTGACACGCTAATCTTGAAAACGTCTCCAACGGAGCTCCGTGTTGCTTCCAGCGCCATCCCCCGCGCTCCCTGCGGCCATGGCCGATGCTCCTAGTATGAGGGGCCATCTGGCTACCGCGAGAGCGACCCAACTCGTCGACATCGTCCGATGATGGTGCCGCAAAGTCAGCCTTCGGAGGCTATCGTGGGGTCGAGCCGGCAGTAGCCGTGACATGTGGTTCCACCACCCCTCGTAGGCTTTGCCTCTGACCGCCACCGTTCCCAGGCTGCCTAATTGGATGGAAAGGAAGGCTCGGCGAGCGTATAGAAGCGTGCTCGACCTCGTCGTGGCAACCTGTACGGCAGCGCTGGTAGGCGCGATGAGCGTCGTGCCACCTGACCCGAGACGGGTCGCAGGCGTCGTACCGAGCGCGTCGAGACCGTGTCCTGATGTGATCTGCACGGGTGAGTCACGTCGGCGTCAAAGGAGCGACGTGCGACCTGTCAGAGCTTGATCTCCAATCTCAGCGGCGTCGAGTCGTCTCCGGCGGCGACAATTTTGTCCCTCCCCAGGACGCACAGAGGCAGCTGCG